AAACAGATTTTAGTCAAATACATAGAAACGCTAAAACTAAAGAAACCTTTATCTCTCCCTGGGTGCGTGTGTGTATAAAACGATCCGTTCAAAACTTTCCGAAAGTGCTGAGAGTGTTGGGGAGGCAACTTGCGAAGAATCGAATAGTCCTTTGTATAAATAATCAGGGGAGATTCGCTGACGTAAAGGTTAAATCGCTGCGCGATGTTTGAGGATTGTTGAGGAATGTTGCGCCGTCCTCCGGGTATCATCATCTCATTGTCTTCATCATCGTCCGACGTCGCCGTCGCCGTCGTTGCAGGAGGTCCCCGAAGGAGGTTTACTCCTGTTAACTCGATTTCGCCGCATGCGACGCGCACCGCTGAGTGCCGGGCTCGCTAATAGGCGGGGATGGCCCTCTCGGATTCTTCTCAAAATTTCGCGAGCGAATATCGATCAATCGACTCCGCTCGTGCTCGTAGCGGTGTGCTTGCGCGGCCTCAAATATTGATATCGGCGCGAGTCTCGCGGAGATTCAGACAAGCGGATATCGATCTGCGTTGAGTGAGTGACTGACGGTCAATAAATAGCAGTTTCCCGCTGCTATCCGCGCTCGGAGGAGCGCACTTTTCTGCCGTTCACCTGGGGAAATCCTCTCGAAAATCCACCGAACGCGTCTCACGTCTCTCGCGCGAATCTCGACTCGAGCGAACTGAGTCCGTCTTCTGCAGTTATTCGCGCGACACAGCGGCCGGTTTGCTCCTTCGTGAGAAAGCTCCCCTCTTACGGGAACAGTCACTTTATTTATTTACTTTTTCACGTAAACGATCACCCGGGGTCGTATTGTGCCACGATGTGTTTTCACAGGCTTGCATTATGAATGAGACGGGTCACAGCCTATTCTTATCGCATAGATTACGTCTCCGAGTGTCCAAATGAAAGGTACACATTGGTTCCCGATCGGTGGAAAAAAATCCACTGCGACGTGAGATTCATTTCCTGACCTCTGGGATCTAAGAGGACCCCAGGTGACTATTCCCGGATTAGTGCCGGGGCATCGAAGGGATTACGTTCATTCATGATTTTCGCGATGAATCGATAGAACGTGCCAGCCAGCCAGCCGGTCGGCCGGCGAAGTTCCGCGCGCGTGTGCGTGCGTGCGCCTATGTGTGTGTATTTCGGTGTGCAAACGCAAGG